AGTTTCAATAATGCAAAGTTCAACAGTTTTCTCATCTTTCAATTATGTAAGTCTAAACTTGGCATTCATAGTGTCTCTAAAAATAAGTGGACAACTGAACCAATGTGTACCTTGCAAAGAGTCACTAGAAAAGTGATAGCAAAATTTTCATATATAATGTCAACTGTTCCATCAATAAGGATGCAAAATTTAGAACTGTTGCTGTCCTTGACAAGGGAATTCCACTCAGTTTCCTTTGGTGAGCATAGTCCTTCCTCTGTCTCTTCTACCACCCAAGGGCACATACCTTTTCTCTTTCAGATATTCAATGACTTCCTGGTTCATTTTAGTTATTCATTTAATTACCCAACAACCTCAGGTTTGGTACTATGCTAGACTTGAAATACAAACATGATATTATCTCTGCTTTCTTGGACAAATGGTTTAGTAGGTGAAACAGAAACATAAGCAAATAAACCTGAGACTGTGATGGAAATGAGATGTAAAAGAAAAGGCTAAGAGCTCAGGGCACTGGACTCAGAGATACAAGTGGAATTTCTGCCAGGAGAGAAGGTGATATTAACTGCTTCTAAGAGTACCATCCTGATGTCTTCAGAGGAGGAAGATAAAAAGTAAACGATGATTCTGGTTAACACAAAGGTGAGGATGTGTGAAAACATGACACTGAGACGTTGTGACATTATATCATATAGATATAGCACAGCAACTGTGAAGTTCATTGACATCTGCAATTTTGATTAATTTCATCTTTAATGTCCTCACAGTCAGATTTTTGTCAAACTATGGGTCTTGAAACAAATGTATCCACTCTTCCACAGCAGTTATTTTGAACTGAAGGCCATAAAGAGGCTGGAAAAATTCCAGACAGAGAATGTCGGAGTGCAATTCAGCTCTGTTGGTGACATACGTGTACGTTACGTGTGTCTGGGTGTGTTTCTGTGTGTGTTTTACAATGTATTTTTTTATTGTGGGTAACAATTAAAATTTGAAAGCCACTGTGGTAGTAATACTTTCTATTGCCTTTCATTGCACTCATGTTATATTGGTTATGATTAAACCTCAAGTCCAAATCAAACTCGGTTTGTAATGAAGTGACAAGTGACACAGGGTGACCTCATTTAAGCCTGGCACACAGGCAAACATCTGTTTTAGTGAACTCTAGCTACATTTTACCAGATGAAATGTTTCTAACTTGGGAATGAAACCATCACTTGCAACATTATTTTAACATTAGTTTTCCATTCTGAGTTTGAAACCACCAAATTAGATACAGTGTACACAGTACTACAAATTTAATAGTAAGCTTCCTCAGATATTGGCTTCTTTTATAATAATCATTCATTTATTTAGCAATTATTTACTGAGTGCATACTGTATGCCCAGTGGTATTCTGACTGCTGGAGATTCAAGGCTGCACAAGTTAGACAAGGTTTTCCAAATAATAACACAATAATACCTTGGTTCTGCAAAATTTTGCTTCTGTTTGACAACTCCAACTTGGTGACTGACATGTCCAATGCTATCTTCCCCAGAATCATGGAACAAATTAAATTTGCAAACAGAGGTACCGCTGTACTTTATATTAGGCATTTGTATTAAATGTGAGCTTCTTGCAATTAATATAACAGACTATAAAAACATTTAGAGACAAGCCACAGAGATATATAAAGAAGGAAGAAGGTTTAAGTACTCCAACTTCATATAGAGGAAGTCTCACATGACAGTACATACTTCAAAGAATATTTAAAGCTAGAGGAGACAAATGGTGTGTTTCATAAAATGATTTTAATCTATTCCTTGTGGAAAAATTAGAAAATGCAGCTCATACATAACTCATATTTTGCAAAAGTAAGAGTTTTCCACAGTAGGGAATGAATATCTATGCTACTGTTGTGCTGTGTGTGTGCTTATAGAGTTTAAAGTTCTCTGTAGAGAATAAAGCAATAGATTTTCAAGTTGCATTTCAAAGAGAGAAGCATCGAATTTTCACATGAAATTGCTTTCATTTAATTTTTTCTTTGTAGTTTTAAAAATATAAATGATGATATATGGACAGTGGTATATTTTTCAGTTTTGAAATTTCAGAAACTAGTCCCTTTTTATTCCTATCCCTTTTTGTAATTATCGCACTCGGTCTTATAAAGTCCAATCGTTTTCTTATGATACTAAAAAACCATAGTATTTCAATATGTATTATTTGAGGGTCTATACTATGGAATAAGATGTTAGGTAGAGAAAGGTAAACATTTTACCTCACAGTTGAAGTATTTCAATAAAATATATACAAGTAGACGTTTCACTTATTATATTGCTTTATATTTTTTAATACCTTTGCCTGTTTTTGTTCTTCATTTCATATTATTATTCTCACTTGATTCCCAGGCTACCATTCACCATCTTTAACTGCCATTTTAAAACTGTAGGAATATAAGGATTTCTTGATCATCTTTTGATATTTATTTTACTTACTTTAACCCAGTGTCTATTTCTATGCCATTAAACTTATTATTGTAAACTGTTCTGTAACCTATATCATCTTTTGAAAGTTTATCTTATTTTTCAGAAGAAATGAGTATATATCATTTCCATTGGAGGCAAGGAGAAAGACAAAAAAGGGAAATAATGTATAGATAAGGAGAAGTATTTTACAACACCCTCCCCTTTTCTTTAAGAGAAAGGGAGCATTGTGTTCAGTACACTGCTGAAGCTCAGAATGCTCAGAACAAGGACTAACACTGATGCTTTCAATATTAAAGTCTTCTAACAGTGATACCCTTAAAAATAAATAAATTATGTTTTCTTTAAATCTGCCTCAACTTTTTATGCTTTCAAGTTTCTACGATTCACTTCTTCATTTTTCATTTCCTTACGTGAGACATTTGCCTCCTTTACCTTCATATCAGATAAGGTAGGGTTGAGTCAGTTGGACTATAGTTCCTTTCTGTTTTATTAGTGCACATTTGCAGTACATACAGATTACGTTCATCACGGGGAACTGGTGCACGTACATGGCACGTCTTTTTCTTTAATCCCCTTCCGTTTCCCTCCCTCCCTTCTCCATCTATTGGTCACTTTCCCTTTTGCAAAAGATCTGTCTCATTCTTTGCTCTTATCTTTCATTTTGCTTTATAATTTATTTATATTTGGGGTTTCTCATATGAAAAAGTCATATTCTATTTAAGCTTGTTTTATTTTACTTAACATTATGGTCTCAAGGTGCATCCATTTTCCTATAAAAGGCTCAGTTTATTCTTCTTTATGATAGAATAGTACTCCATTGTGGATAAACACCATATTCTCTTTATCTGTTCATCTGTTGATGAACATTCAAGATTTAACTATTACGAGTTGTACTGTCGTAAACACAAGTGTGCATGTATCGTAGCAATAGGATGCCTTCATCTCCTTCAGGAAGATACTTGGAAGTGGAATAGCTGGGTCAAATGGAATTTCTAGTTTTAGTTGTTTGAGGAATCTCCACACCGATTTCCATAGCGGTTGTACTAGATTCTATTCCCATCAGTAATGTTGAAGGTTTCTTTTTCCCGGTAGTCTGTCCAGCATTTGTTATTATTTGGTTTCTTGGTGATGGCTACTCTGGAGTAAGATGGAAGCACAAATGACCGAGAAATACATGAAAGAATGCTCCATCTGGCTGGCCAAGGGAGAAATGCAAGTTAAAATAACACCAGACTATGGATTTTTAAAATGAAAGTTTGGATTGAGACCAGACCAAGCTAAGACTGGACAAAAGATTATCTTTGACAAATGTATTGGTGATTTGATTGGAATACATAAATAGAAATATTGATTTTTGAAGAACAAAAAAATCAAAAAGGAATTATTACACGCGCTGAGTAAATTCAAATGTAAACACTAGTTTGATGCTTCAGAAGTCTTTTGTTTTACTTCTCTTTTGTCACCAAGTTCTAAGTGCTAAGGAAGGAAAATGGATATTCTTTATTCCTCCTAATATGCTCCTTTGGGGTCTGAAAATACCTAGAGCGACAGGGCATAGAGAGAAAATAACTTTGAGCGATGATGCTTTTCCAGTGTCGCATTAGGCTTCCTCCTTTTCCAAATCAGGCTTTAGCCTTATCCCTGAATCAACAAAAACATAGCATCACACTTTGCTTTTTATAACATCAGTAGTGAACAATGGGAAAAAATTCATATCGGGGAAGAATAGAACACATGATTTTCAAAGTCAAAGGTGCTAATTCCTTTAGTACCCTGAAGATGAATAAATTAACATTTATTGGATGATGATATTTTAATCATGGGCAGATACAAGGACATTGATATTTTACTTAAATTACATGGGTTTAGCAACTAAAATAATTTGTTGGAGTTCTGGGAACACTCGGATCTGGTTAGGGTTTTAGAAATTTTCTTATTCATATTTGATTCAAATTTATCAATAACCAGTTCCGTATGATTTTCGTTGTTATTTGTGTGTGTCCAAGCAGATATACGGGCTTTTTTTATAATGCTGTTTAATCTTTAAATGAAGAATGGCTTTATTTACCTTTTTCTTTTGGGAAACTCAGGAAGAAGGTAGCGCTGACAAGTCCAACATGAAATCAAACTGAAATAAAATCCTCAGAGTTCAGTGTCCCAAACAGATGAATCAGTTTTCTTCTCTTCATCATTTGTACTACAGTACAAGCAAATAACAGATGCCATTTCTGGAAATTTTAGAGCAAATAACCAATTCCAGATAAAAGCAATAGCAAATGCAAAATGCATACTTTTCAATCATATCTAAAATTTTCCATATTCCTTTGCTATTGTGGACCTCCAGGTAGTTTATCTTTTTCAGATGGGAATATGGGAGGGTAAATAGCTCAGAACTGAATTGTTTGGTAGACTGGGGATTGCATTTAAGGCCTTGGCCTTGAACTACCTCCACAGCCCCCCCCCCTCCCCCCTTCATCTTTTATTTTGAGACAGGATTTCCTCGCTGAGTTGCCCAGGCTGGGCTCGAACTTGCAGCCCTGTAGCTTCAGCCTCCCAAAGTGCTAGGCTTGTAGGCCCTGGCCGCCACACCAGGCCACATTTTTACAAATGGTATTCGGGAGAGGGCTGGCCCATCCGCAGCCCTGCGTGGGCACACTGGCTGAGAGACGCGCGTGAGAAGCACACGCGTGTGAGCGCGGCGGAGGCGACCAGGACGGGCAGCAGCGGCAGCAGAAGGCGAGACCAGGAGACGCGCGACCTCCGCCCGCTGGGTGGAAGACGCTCATCTGGGAGTCCGTGTTCCAGTCCACAGTAGTAGGGTCAGGCTGTCTCTGACGTCCAACACTGTGCTGAAGCAAAGGCGAGGAGGCCTTGCACTTCCTCTGGTACAGTGAAAAGAGCCCTGGGAGCAGCCTCTTGTGAAAGTCGGTGTCCACAGAGCCTCGCGAGGCACTGCATTCCGCAGCCTGGCACGCAGGGGCTGCAGCGTCTGGAAGCCCGGGCCTCGCGTCTGCAGAATCGCAGGCCGGGCCAGCAAACCTTCGCCATCACCCAATTTTAATACCGTGCTAAAGCCATCGACACTGTTTGGGGGGGGGGGGTAAGTGTGATCCCTCCCCACCGTCCCTCTCTCCCTCAGCTTAGGGTTTGGGGGACCAGGAGGGGCTGGAGCTCGGCCCCAGCCTCAGAGTCGCTGCCAAAGCCCTTGTAACCCAATCTCTCCCCTTTGAAGGGCAAATCAGTGTCAATTGCATTCGCTGTCCACCCGGAAAGAACAAAAGAAAGAAAGCAAAAAGTAAGCATTTTACTTCCGCTCGGCCTGCTCGGACAGATGAAGTGTAGGAAAAGCGTTTCTGGCGGGGAATCGGTGGCCGGAACGGCGCCGAGCGGAGCCCCGCGCAGCATGCGGAGGGCGGTCCGGCCGGGCGGCGGGCGGGGTGGGCGCCGGGCCGGGGCGTCTGGAACCCGCGCGGGGGGCGCAGGGCGGAGGCGCCGCCCGCAGTGGGCGCTGAAGGGCTGAGCCCGGAAGCCAGAGGGTGGAGGGCCCGCAGCACGGGGGGCTGCGGGTGCTCGCTGCTCGCCCGCGAGGCAAGGGCAGAAGCTGAGGTTACTATTAAATGTGAACGATCAGAGGCTCCCCCGCGGGAAAGCGCGGCACTGTACGGTTCTTCTGGTGCTGCTCCGAGAGCAAACTGCAAGCCAACTTCGCTTCGGAAGCATCAGTTACCCCGGCGAAGATAACTTGTGTCACCTCGGTATGGTGCACTGCGGGCAAGGCGCCTCCACATCTGAAGGTCCCGATCCTAGGAATGGAAAGGCAGCTACAACAGGGGTCCATGGGTTCTTTTGGGGGGGGGGGCGGTACCGGGGATCGAACTCGGGACCTTGCGCCTGCCAGCCAGGTGAGGCAGCACAGAGCTGAATCCCCGGCCCAATGGGCTCTATTTTGAAAGCCCCAGCACACTCAGGGTGGGGGTGGGCACTCCGATTTCCTTCCTTTAGTCTTTCTCAAGAATCACCGCTTCGCCTTTCCCCCTTCTCCATCTCTGATCTCTGTCCTTTCCCCGCGCTGGACTCGGTTCCCCGCCCCACCCCCAGCCCTGTTCAGAAGCCAGATTAATCCTGGACGGCGGCGTGTGTGCAGGAAACAGGATCCGCCGGCGCACGGGACACCCACTGGGCCTCCCAGCCTTAAAACAGGCCGGACAGGTGGGATGCACGCGCAGGGCGGAGGGAGCCCTCCTTCCCTCCCCAGCTGTCCCTTGAGATTCAGAGGCCAGGCTAAGAACAAACCCTGTGCGAGGGGCTGCTTTCCCCCAACTCTCAGCCCTGGGAACAGATGAGCAGCTGGGGTCAGGTGTGCTCAGCTTGCCTCTGAGATCAATGAGCGCTTTCTCAAGGAATGCTTGCCCCTGACGGAGCGGAAGGCGGGGGCTGTGGTGGGCCTGTACAGCATGGGCATCCAAGCTCCGGCTGCCTAGGAGAAGGTAAGGGCTGGAGCGGCCGTGGACCGGATGCCTTCGAGGTGCCCGCTGGAGCTTTTGCACAGAAAGGTAGCTCGGATGTCAGCCCAAATGCTCGGAGACATTGGGCGAAACTACTTTATTGGGAAACATCTTACTCACTTGGGTGAGGAACTGCGCTTTCTGGGGAAATAAGTTCATAATGCAAAATTTATTTCACCGTGTGCAGAAAGGCTGCACGATTTGCCTTTGAGTTTTCTAGTATCCCTTTAGAGGGCTTAGCTGAACCTCAGTCTTGCAGGTATGGTGCAGCCTTGAGCCTTGTTATTTTAGAATTTTGCTCCAAGACCGCAAGTGCGCACTGTGCACTTCAGGAACCTTCGGTACACCGAAGTTGCCTTCCTTGAAGGCCAATGACGCGGCTCTAAGAATTTGTTTACAGTTTGTTACGGTTGTTTACACTGTTGCAGATGTTGTGGCGCTGTATTGCTGTATTGGTATTTTTGTGCTTTGAGTATGCGCCCAAACAAGATCTACTGTTTCTTTTCAGTTCTCTTGAGGAACTATCAAAGTTTTCACATTCAAAACTGAAAAGAAAAATAAAACTAGAGGCTAGATCTGGAATGAAAATAGAAAATATCTCTTGTCAAAATGGTAATATATTTGTGTAATTCTCTGTGAAATGCTTTCAGAGTCGATTTAACTTAATTTTGTCCTACATGAGAACTCTCCTTGCTCTTAACTACCTTAGACTTGAGTAAATCAGAAGTCTTTGTCTTACACACAATACAAAAATATACTCATAAATTAAGATTTACCTAGTCCGTTTATATGAAGTTTTGACATAGCCTTTAAGTGCTACAATTAATGACTTTTGGATAGCTTTGTATTCAAATTATGTTTCAGTCTCATCTGGTTAATGTAAAAGGAAAAACAAAAACCTGTGCTAAATTATTAGGAAGAATGGTTTTAATGGGATTTAGAAATATAAACTTGAAAAATCCATAATGCCATAAAACTTAGAACTTCAATTCTCACTCAATCGCAGTTTTTGGTCTGGGTTTGAGAAGGACTTGTGATTACAAGTATACCATCATTTCATTCAAGACAGAACGTCATGGGGCTTGGGGGCAAGAGAAACATGCCTGGTAGAGTTAATATACAGATTGGTCCCAATCTTTAGTTAATGGCCAGAAATTCCATTAGATACATTTTCTAAGGTCTTTGTGCATTTAAAGATCTTACAACACTATTAAAAAATTTATGCTGAATTTTGCCTTTATGTTTGGTGATTTTGTTTTCATTTATTTGTGGACAAGTCACTTCCCGAAAGAGGTAGAGATTCCATTTCCAGATGTGAAACTGCTTTTCTGATTAAAGTGTGGACTTTACTTTCTAACTAGACCCTTAGATTAAGATTTTGCATTGATAGCATCAGTTAAGAATATACATTTTGTAGACACATTAGTGGTTATCCAAAAAAGAATCACATAGTGTTAAAAGCAATCCCAATGGTGAAACAACCATCATTGATGGTTTATTCTGTGAGTTCAGTTTGAAGGATCACATCTTCTTCCTCTAAATTTTGGAAGCTTTTGGGGTTTAGAGCATTTTGTGTTTGTTTTTAATTTTGAAAGACAGTGTTAATGACATATACTTTTTGTTTCCACATTACGTGACATGCATAACACGCAAAACTGAGAAGAAATTTTGAGGTTAATACTTCAGATGAGGGCTGTTGGCTTGAGGTCATTAATGCTCAGTGCTTTCAGGTTCCATAGTTGAGTCTCTGTGTCTACGTGTTGGGGGGGGGGAGAATCTCTCTATGTTATTAGTTTATGATCTTTAACTGGTAACAAAAATGTAACAATTTATAAACAAAACTTTAAAAAAAGACATAGACACTATTCATTTTAGATTTCAGCATTTCATACATCATCTTGGAGGTGGCATTTTTTTTCAATGTGCAGGAAACTTTGGAATTTTTCATTGTTTATGAGCTTAGATCATTAATACTTTGCCTGATTTCTCTTCTCCCCCTTCTCTGTTGTATTTTCTTAAGGGTTCACAGTTTTATAAACTGTTCCTATTTTGTAGCAGGATTTTATTTCTTTCCAAATAAATCAGTGGAAGTTTTATTTTGATGCATTTTCTGATGGTAATGATAATGATGTTGACAAAGCACTGGCATAGAAATTGAATCCTTACAATATCTTTGAAGTGTTAGCCTCTATGTACATAGTGAAGTCAGGCACCAAAAGAAAAATGCGGATGACTGGAATAGAATAGTTACTTAATGGTAGGTAACATAGCGGTGCCATTATTTGACCCTAGGACTTCTGATTCCAGTTCTCATATTGCATCTATTAATCTGGCTTCTTAGCGGAATCACACAGAAATAGTAGTGACGTAGTGTTGATCTTATTTTATTGTTGCTAGTCTTTCTTTCCGATTTATTTTCTATGCCACATATTCTCTCCAACATGTCAATACTCAAAGACAAACCATCTTGGTGATAATCAAAGCACACCTCTAGGTGGCATGACAGAGTCCTTTTCTTCTGAGTCAAAACTACCCTGTCTTCTGCTGCAATTCTGGAGCAGCAGACCAGACGCTTTACACATCTGCTATTTTACTTATGGAGTCATTAATTTTTTCTTCTTCCCCTGGGCTTGTTCAAGTCTCATCATATTCATAATTGTTATTCCAGAATCACTTCTACTATGGAAAGAAAGAACAAAAATACACACAGAGTCTTTGAAGAATTCTGTATTAAGTTTCTGCATGTTTTTCCCTTTAAGCTTTATTTTTCCAAATTCTAAGTTTTGAGAATTGAGTTATCCACTTTTTGATAGACCTGGAGAGCTTATAGAACCACAGTGTAGAAGACTTTTGAAAGTATTGGAGTTCTTTTTCCTAATAGTTGGGTTTACTGTTTACCAAATTTACTGATCAAACCTTTTAAAATATTATGATTATAGAAATTATATTGGAAATAGCTTGCAGTGTTTAGATATACAAAAAAGTTTTTCTTTATTCCTAATCTTTTTTCTTTAAGTCTAGTTAATTATCCATCATTTCATTTTTCATCTTCAAAAGCCTCCCTCTGACATCTCTTGGAGTTTTGAAAATTTTGAATAAGTTCAACAGATTGAATGATCTTTTTGCTAGTTTGTTCTTTATAATCTAATTCAATTCATCCTGAATGATTTACCATTTATAAAAAATTATGCAAAGGGTCAAATTCTGTAGTTATCTTTTTATCTGGGGATTTTTAGACTCATTTAATCTTTTATCATAACGATGTAAGCATTTGAATTGGAATCTACTTCACCATGGGGTAAATTGCTCCAAATCCCAAATTTTGATCATGCTAACTGAATCCATTCCATGTTTCCTGCTTTTCTCCTAGCCAAATTGAAATCTAAGACCTCCATGTAGTGACATTCAGCTGATCCACCAAACCAGGCTCAGTCGATGCTGATGTAAATATGAAGAATGGATCAGGAGAAATTTGGTTGAAATCCTAATTCTTTTCAGAAAAGATCTAAACAATAGTGTCCTTATCTATGACAGTGACTTTAAGTTTCTACATCTTGGTCATATGTTTAATTGTTTAACTTTTATAGCACGTTAATCTCCGTTAATCCTTCTTTGTCTCACATTGGCCTCCTGGGAAATGTAGCTGTATTCTTCCCTTTCCTCTCTACTAAAATTTTGAATATGTGCAAATTGACAAAGTAAAAAATTTTCTCAATTATTTTTAGTGTTTTTCCTAAACGATCACCTGTAAATATTAGAAGATAGTTTGGATTGCATTTCTGGCAAAACACCAGACAGATTACATGAGAAATAAATGTGCTACTGTCAAGGAATATAAAAACTTCACTGTTTAGTAGTATGGAAGGAAGGATTGTGTCCCTCTGGCTCATTGCAATTGTTACATGCCATTAGGCTTACTGTAAACTATCCCTTGATGAATTCTTTGTTGGACAATGAGCTTCAGACTCTGAGGTGTCTTCTTGCTTTTGCAGAGCAAAATAGGACTCTCATGCTTAAATGGAAGTTGCAGAGTGCATAATAGGGTGTAGGTAAAGTTACTGAGCAACTACATCTCACTTTCAGGACAGTAGTGGGAGAGATTGTGTCTTGAGAAGAAAGGCATTTTAGAGGTAACCCTTTTAAGATTTCAATTAGTTATTTAAATGCATGAATCATGTTCTAAGAGGTATTATTACTTGAATGTTTATTTCTGAGGCTAGCTGGCCAATGGGAATCCTGATGAACTACAGAGAGATGTTTTATTTTACTGGAAGTGAACATAATTTTCTAAAATTCAAACAAAAAATGTTTTAGTGTTTGATAACAAGGTTAGGAGAAAACCTTAGGAGTTTAAAGGAATGATAGATGTCATTATTAGCTGGGAGAATAAACAATGCTAATATTCTTTTTTCTATACTGACAGTTTACTAATATGACAAGATGTATGAAGAATAGTTCACATTTGCACTGCTTCACTCCAGATAATTACATACATAATATTTTTAAAGAAAATTTATGGTTTTTTTTCAAAAATTACTCACAGAGTAATTGCATTAGGAATGAAATTGTGCCCTTTACTTGTATGTTTATAAAATGTTTTAGATAGTTACTCAATTTCCAAAAATATCTTCTCATATTTGGAGATGGCTACATTTTTCATTCTTCTAAACTTCGTCTTATATTTTCAAATCTTTAAAATAATCTTTAAAAAAAATTAAGCTATTATAAGTGAATTAGATTTGAGATTTATTGGAAGGAAATACTGTGCAAAGCTTCAAAGAATAAAACCCAAAGAGGGCACATAATTTATATTGGTAACTTTAAAGTGTTATACATAGGAATAGCTGGAGATACAGTTCAGTGACAGGGCACTTGCCGGGCAAGGCCCTGGGTCCTATCCCTAGCATTTCCATAAAACGTGTAAATATCGAAACATAGCTGAAAACCCCAGGCATCATATAATCTTACTTCTTCCCTGCTGCAAATATTTTTTATTGCCGTTCATTCAAATGCGTTTGGTTCTTTAATGTACATTCTATATTTACAGACTATGCAGAATCTTTCCTATTGTTTGACAGTATCACTTTGTCATCTTAGCTGCTTCGATGTTGCTTCTGTAGATCAGGGCCAACACATATTCAAACATCTTTTCTGTGGCCAGGGGTTTGGGCTAGTCATAAGAGGTTTGGGCTAATGAAACCAACAATTTTTTATAGATGTAAAACATGTAAGTACTTATACCTAAAAAATAAGCCTAATATGTAAAACAGAAAAAGTGAGAAGATACAAAGCAAGATAGTTGATAGTAGAGGACAAAACACCAAACCAAAACAAAAAAAACCACTGACAATATTCGTTAGAAATAACACGTAATTTTTTGCTTACCAATATGGGTTCTTAATTAATCTATTTTGTCAAAATGAGTCATTATGGGGAGAATATTGGTCTTAAAATATGAAGACCCAGATTCAAACTTAACTCTGACAAAGTGTCGCTGTCTGATCTTGGTTAAGTCAGGTTTCTTCTCCAGCTTTATTTTCTGTGACTATCAGGGAGGATGGTGGAGGATACTCTGAATGTATCTTCCTCCCCTATCCATGGATGAATTCTGTAATCGTGAATGCACCATTACTTGACCACTTCCAAAACCTAAAGTGCTATGCTTAATCTTTAATGCAATAACCGTAAGAGTAAAGACTATAAGTTTACTAAGAATTGTACAAATACCTAACAGATAATATCTAGTCCTAAAATTATGTGTAAATCTGTGGTTTCAAAAATGAACCCAAGCAATGAGTCAAACTGGACAGTAAAATTTTAATTCAACTACTTTTCCTGTACTTGAATAAATGTAATTCCTTGCCTTAGCAGCTGGATCTTTCCAAATATATTGTTTTTGCACAAGCTAAAAGTTTACTGTTTGATTTTCAATTGGCCTTTGATTATTGGTGCTTCCTACCAAATGCCTGGGCAAAAGTGAGAGGCCCAGGGCAAACAAAGTAAATAGTGTTTAATAATTAATGACTGGGACTGTTAGAAAAATGCTCACAAATCCGGTTCATTACTGTTATGGTGGCAAGATTTTAAGCAGAGAAGTCTATATAAAAGGCAACTGCATTTTTGTTTCCAACACAGGTATTACAAGTGGATAAATAATGTGCACTGCTCTGAGCCCAAAGGTACGCAGTGGGCCTGGTCTGTCTGATATGCATCAGTACAGCCAGTGGCTGGCCAGCAGACACGAAGCTAATTTGCTACCGATGAAAGAAGATCTGGCCCTGTGGTTAACCAATCTATTAGGTAAGGTTGTAAGATATATTTTCTGAGCACAGATAATGGTAGTTGTGGGCCTTTTTCCCCTCTTACAGTGTCCTTCACCAAATCATGTGATAGCACTTTGGAAAGAAAGACTTTCATTATTTGGTTATTTCATCTGGGAAACCTGAAGCATGTGGAAAATTTAAACGAATTTCCCCTATGTCTCTCACATTCTCTGTGCTTCATAATTCCAACTTTGTGCACTGAAGTGTGAAAATATGTGGTTAAATTACTTCTTTCATTTATGTGTTGGTCTGATTTATTTTTGTCTTTTTTTTTATGCAGCTGACCAATATGACCTATCCCTTTGACCCTGTTCACAGGGCATAGTCTGAAATGTAGCTTCTAAAACTGGATTTCTTTGTCCTAGTTTTATAGCACGCCTACTAAAACTGAGTACCCAAACTCAGCAACAAAAGCATCTGTACTTTGTCCCGATGAGCCGATTAGCATCAACTAACCTTGAGCTAAAATTTTTCTTTTCGACTTATCTTTCTTTTCATGTGCTTGTCTAAAAGCATTGTTGTTGAGAAAAAATGGTATCTCATGTCAAGGCTGCCTCTTCATTTGGGTCTGGCATAGCAACAGGAAAAATCTTCAACCAAGTGTAAAATAGATTTCTGTATTTAAAGGACTGTCATACATGTACATGTGTATAAACGCTATTTCAACTCATCAGTTTTCTAAGTGAATAAAATTGATTTATAACTTGAGGAAAGGATTGTTGCAGAGTTCATAAGATATATTATTTGAATACTGAGTAACCATAGAAGCTGCCTGGTGCTTTAGCATTTACAGAAGGGATTTCCCAAATTGTTTTTTTAAAGACTCCTCCAAGGTTAGTGTTGCTATCTTTACTTTCCAGCTGATGAAATGAGCAGCTAGGTGAGAAGCACCATGTTGGTCTGAAATGTTGGCAAAGAAGAGCAAAGTTTTAGCAAATTTTTGTAAGAGCTTTCTCTGCTCACCCTGACTGTGGGGTTTTTATGAGGCTTTTGTATTATTTGTTTCTGTTTTTAGGTTTCATTCTTTTTTTTTCACTTTATTAAATTCCTTTATTGGTACACTGTAGGTATACAACACAATTACATTTCTCATTGAGAATTGTACCTTTACATAATGCATCTTCGTTCTTATTTTTTCCCCATTCCTAGCCCTGCCTTCACCTCCTCCACCCTTCCCTATTTACAAAGACTTTATTTCCATTTTTTCCATTTCTCATCATTTGTCCTTTCCCTTCTTTCCTTTCCCCTGCCCCTCCTACTACCCCTACCCATTTGAACCTTTTCTTCCTATTTTGCATTATCGATTATTCATTCTAATCATTGGTACATTTTAGATATACAATATAATGACATTCATCACTGGAAATTTGCACCTTTACATAGTCTCTCTTGGTTCTTATTTTTCACCCTTGCCCAGCCCTCCCTTCAACCCCTCCATTCCTTCCTATTTACAAAGACTTTGTTCCTATTTTTCCATTTTCTCATATTCATTCTTAAATTAGATGGTCATTTTTTTTCTTCCCTAAGTATACCCTATTTTGGCAGCTTTTTGTAATTTCACCAGGGCTACAAAATGTGCATATGCAAGCTTTACTCTTCACAGACTTGTCCGACAAAGGATGATGAGGTCGAAAGGCCTCTCATGGAGACCTTTCACCCTGCTGGGAGCTGTCTGGACCAGGGGGAAAGGGTTACTTCCTGTTAGCCATTTTTTCATGCAAAGGAGCAACTTTTATCTCTAGCAAATGGAAGAAGTTATTCTAGCTTAAATACACATTTTCTCTCTTTCTTTTGTCTTTTTTGGGTACCACTAATGATTGTTAAGTTAGCAATTTATTGCCTTTCAGCCATCTGTTAAAAGTTAATGAGTTTTCCCCCTTTACATTGAAATATGTTTGCGATACATAATAATTATATTCAACTCGGGGAATTGGTATATATACATATTGTGTCTTAATCTTTTTTACTTTCACTTTCCTTCCAACCCTCTCCTCTGCCCTCATGCCCAGATCCCAAATGGATCAAAGACCTAGATATAAAAAACAGAAACACTAAATGTACTGGAAGACAAAATAGGTAATAAATGGTTAAAATATGTAGAGTACTTGGAACAGTGTCTGACATGTAATAAACACTAAATATTTGTTACTCTATTTATACAGTTCAATGAAACTGTTATTTGATTTTGAGTATAAGTACATTCATTAATTATACCAGTATTTGAGTGTGAAAAAGCATAAGTTATCCATTTAAAAAATGGGCTCTGGAATATGAATGTGCAATTCAAATCTCAGCTTCAGCCTTTCCTATGTAATTCTGGGTAAATGTATTGAACTGTGTCTCAGATTTGTAATCTGTAAAATTAGTACAACACCAACCTTCAAGATTTGTTGGTGCTTGGAAATGACATCATCACCTTTAGAACAAGGTCTGCAGTAGAATAATCAGCCATGAAATAGTAACTCTCGTGGTTGTGTTCGGACACAGTCTGCTAGGTATTGGAGGGTAGTAAGATGATTAAAAATAGACACAGAACCTATTTTTACAAAGCTAGGAGTGGTTAGCAAAGAAACATTACATAGGTGACTTAACATGTCATTGATTGAACTCATTATAAACCCTAAAAGATATAGATTGCCATTAGAATGCAAAATGCCTGGAGACAGGGCAAAATACCAGAAGGCTCAGGGAAATCCTCTCTGAGGAACTTATGTTTAAACTGAGACCCAAAGAAAGATTAATAACTAGCCAGACAAGGCATGGGATAAGCATATTTGGGGACTAGAGGGCATGTGTTGAGATAGGAAGGAGTTGCATACTTCAGAATAACTGAATAAAGACTAGTATCAACCTCATGGAAAGAGGTAGAAAGTGTCCAGAGGTTTATTGGGGTACATCATACACTGCTTGAAGAGCTTATTGAGGATCTTATCATCCACAGTGTGATAAGGAGGAGGCATTGAGATGTTCCAGGTCAGAGAAGCATGTGATTAATTAAAGTATAGCTTGATTACACAGCATCCCATGACTTGTCATCAAAAGCATTTTATTTAGCCAACGTGCTCATTTACAAAGTAGTGTGATCAATGTGAGCAGCCTAACAGCCTCAAAGAATAGAAACAGTGTGTGTAATGGAAAGATCTTGGATTCAGAGTCAGGAGACCTGGCTCCTAACTGGGCATCAGGAGACCTGGCTTCTGATTCTGGCTCCACCACTTGGCAGGAAACTTGCCTAAAGTCACTCAGCTATCTGTTCTGGGCTCCGTGTCCTCAATCATAAAATGAAGGGGTTGGAGTAGATGACTTCTAATATCCTTTCCAGCTCCTGATATCTAAGTTTCCAAGAAGTCCATCTCTTGGGACCTAGTTTGGGGCAGTTGAGGTCATCAGTATGCCTAAACCAGGAAAAGAAGTTTGATATAAATAAATGACCCTTTCAAGAAAAAGACTGGATGTAAAAGAATTAACTGTTGTAAAACAGTTTAATCGGATGGTTTGTGAAATTTTCTCGAAAGGAATTCTAGAAGAATCTCAAGTATCACCTTTGAATTGACTTGTGTTCATGAGGAGTAGGTGGATCGTCTTCAAATGAACGCCTTCATGATAACATGGAAAGGAGTCCAGTAGTTTGGGAACATTTAAACTGGCAAAACATTTGCAAGTTGAAAAATTCATTATGTACTAGAAAAATATATTATATGCTAGAGAGGTGTTACCAAGGAAGGGCGGAATAAATGTATGGCTATGTTAAAAGACATCTTTCTTACATATGATAGGTACACTCAGTATTCACATATTTTAGAAATGGAGCAGTTAAGGCAAATGTTAAAATTATTTATATTACCAGCCATTTTGTTACCTCAGAAATATTTGTGGATTTTCACTATGTGGTTCTTTCAAAGGTTACTTTTTATCTACCTGAAAGTTAGAGATGTCTTGAAAGTGATGTAAAGTTGGTCCTGTCTCATTAGAAAGTATCCTAATTCTTTGGTGAAGCAGAAATTTGCCTACTAAGTTACAATTTTTAATCAGGATTTACTACTGTGATAGTTGACCTTACTTGGAAAGATTGTCGAATATGTAGCTATTAATTTTATATTTTTTTCAAGGGAGTATTGATGATATTCTAAATTCAGGTATTTCTGATCCTACATACAAAATGTTACTTTAAAAATGTGGTTTTCAAAAGAATACTCAGATCATATTCAGACTTTTTTGAACCATAAAATCATTTGATGGAGAAGAAAATGATTATTTTGGTCCATAGACCTATTTTTACATTCATGCCCAAATGTAGGCATTACATGTAATTTTCAGGCTCTAGATACATATTTAATCAGTCACAATAATACATCCCATCCTAGATTGATTCCTGGACATGGAATTAAAGAAGCAAACAGCAAGCTCTCTGGCAAGCTAAAATGTATGTGTTGGAATGTAAAACATTGGTTAGCTTGTTTTAAGTCAACCAGTAAAGGTGAAAAGTGGTATGTATTGCAGCTGGACAGCTCTGGGAGGACCACCCCAACATGATGCAGGAGAAGATCATTGTGTGATACTTTCTGACTTCTCACGTATCTTTGGGTTTATCAACTGATCTTATGGAAAATCCTCTTTGTACTCCTAGTAGTTTTCTAATAGCTGGGACGATGGACCAGTTTTAAGACAAACATTCAGAAAAGACAGAAATAGGGCAGGAAGATCATATCATGCTTCCCTGTGAAAAGTATGTTTGGCCATTGTCCTCTGTTACGCATTCCATCTTTATTCTAGGCCTTGTGTTTTGTTAATTTTGCTCAGTAACCAACTATTGATTATTTGTTACGTAGGTGTTTCCTCAGGACATACTAGGACACTAAATGCTTATACAATAAATTTTGGGGAATAACTGATGTTTTATTTTGAGCAAACAGTGTGTTATTAAACCAGTAGCCCCAGGCCGGGGATTTAGCTCAGTGGTTTCACCACCTGCTGCGC